ACTGTAGAACACAAGTCTAGGCCGTTTACACTGTGCTATCTCTTGATTTGCGCTTTCATTAATTCATATGAAGTTTCTGAGAATTGTCCCTCACGTTCCTGTGATATCTTATAATAATTCTCATCATGACCCTGCTCATGTTTTACAGATATTGCATTTATCAACAGCGTTGTCTCGAAAAGGTTTGCGTATTCACACTGAAATTTTGTCAGACATTATTACCTACATCTCGTGTGAACTTCATTCTCATTCATCTACATATCAAAGATGTATTCGTAGGTACATAGTTTTTGGTCAGTTAGATGAACAAATTGCCAATAGGCTTATGTCGCCTGATATTAGTTTACATATTTCAATATTAAAGGTTTTTCGGTGTGCCGTTATATTATATTTGCTGCTCAGGATGAAAAATTGTCTTGTGATATAAAGATTGTGAAGCTGTTCTATGAGTTTAACCTTGTCGACGAGTTATTAATCATATGGTCATTCGCATCTTTAGTCATAATTTTCTGGAGACAGACCATCTAGAATATCGGAAATAGATTTAACATTCAACATACAATACGCATCACATGCAATTGCTTATTATTGAATTTGAATGTAAACATTAATTCGATATATAGCTATTATCAAATGGACAAGTTCAGTCACCACCACTGTTGACACTTTCAGAAATGTTTGCATTTCATCGTTTTAAACTATGTAACGGGCGTTTAATCGTCAACTGACTAGATGCAAACCACTGTCAAGCCAAAATACTAACTACTTGAGTTATCTATTATATCAGTCTCATCAGATAATTCGCCAACAAACTATACTAGTTCTACAGGTAGAATCATACAGCCCCTTAAATGTATTCATACAACAGGTTAAAATCTTCTGCAGATCTGTGTGGTCTATTTAAATGGTCACAGTCTACTCGTACTGAACCGGAATAGTGTGACCTCCTACCACACGTCAAAGTTACATTACGCGGCTAATGTCTTACGTGGTCTGTGACCGTGCACGAACTCGCGTACGCTCAGTAGTCCCGCTCGTAAACTTTGGCACGAACTCGGTATTATATCGATACCGCGAGGTCGCCAACAAATACATCTTACTACAATCTTCAACCGCCTTCTGATGTTTGGTCTACAGAGGGATCTAACATTGTAATTGGCACGTTGTCTTTCTCTTGTGGTGGTCATAGTCAACCGCGACTCCAAGCCACACTACAGAAGTGTATAAACGGAGGTGGTTCAAAAAGAACTATAAGATTATACGTAGTTTTAAAATATAGTACTGAAAACAGTATTCTGATACACGAATGGCTATCTCCCTTTTTTATCGAAGCTATTTCAACTTATTTTTAATTTTATTGACCTTATAGGATCACGAGTGGGCTTCGTTTTTAACCAATTGTCTAGTTTTGCTTGTAATAGGGTTACTTGGTAGGAAGTGGAACCAATTAAACGTCAGAAACACGATTTAAACACGTATTTTGCATAATAAATTAGCATCAACACCATTGATTCGTGACATTCAACTTGACCATAAGAAGCTGTGATCTAACAATATATTCTGCCTTACAGAATGGGTAGATCAAGATTATCTCACCACCATCATGTTTGAAGGTCAGTAACGCCATCACACTGCTATGAAGATAATTAGTAGTATAAGTTATAAGACACTGGTCAGATTATATATAGTTTAGAGAAGGTAAGGACAGATAGTGACTCAAGGAATGTGCAAGATTATTAGTTATTAGTCTTTTGACTTACAAAACTCGTCTCTCTTGGACTTGATTTTCATATACGGCGGTGATACCACTTATACAGCTTTCCTTCCATCTTTAGGATGAAGTGATCATGAGGTCATCCTATTCAAGTTCATGGCGAAGATGGCCTTTTAACCAGTTGCACCAGCCCGTCCTAACATAAGAAAAGCAGACATGAAGGCGATCAACTCTGCAGCATCTTCCAAAAACTAGATAATTGACTCAGGGGCATCAGTAGAAAAGACACAAACTCACATCAGGCAGTTATACAATCAGGTAACTCAACCGTATATACCATGAACAGTCACAAAGAAGATGAAGCACGGTCATCGCTGGATAGGTAGGGACATTCAACGTTTGCCAATACAAAAGAAGAAATGTTGGAGCGTTGCCGTTAGCCTTGGTTCAACAAGTCTGATGGAACGTTACTGGTTGGTAAAAAACAAGTGCATTATTACAATTCGGGAAGCTCAGAGATAATATGATGGTATACACAATCCTAGAGAGAACAAACCTTGAGGACTGCGTTCAGGCTGCAAGCTGCTGTTTAAAAAGCAACTCGGATATCCCGGAAAATGTGCAAGGAGCAGCCATCCTTGCAACTCCGGAACTTATGAGTTTACCATGCAAAGAGCGGCTTTAAAAGCTGAACCTCTTTACCCTATCCTGCCACAGGTTAAGTGGTAATCTGATTTCGATGCTTGAATACTAAAAAGTGATTTTGGACCTGACATATCCTCTTTTTTCTTCCTAGTAAATCGGGACATCTCAGAGAACATGGGAGGTGAGTAGAAAAGGCAAGAACGAACAAAATAACCGTGCCATACAGGTTTTCATAATGAGTCATCTATTATTGAAACCTGTTGTTGGAATCAGTGGTGTCCACACATTCGCTTAACTCACTAAAAAAAGACTAGACACTCACAGAAGCATACTAGAAGGGGAACACCAAGGGCCGTGGGCCGTCTGACCTTACTACATAAATCTAAATCTAATCTAGGTCTGTTTGACTACTCTATACTTCAAGGTCAATTAGTGTTTTCGCGCAAGTAAATGTATATAAGGTGGGATGGTTAGAACTATTAGCATAAACATGCATATGGTCATACGACATTTAGCCTTAAGTTTTACTAAGTCTGTTCATGTATCTATCATCTCAGGCCGACATTGGTAAGATTTCGCCTGATATTCATTCTTGTGTCCAGCTCTTTCTGGTCACGCATGCACTCATCTAACTACACAAAATTGTTGACTCAAGTAATAGTCTTTTCATATATTTCACTACGACTTTGGCTCACGAACGGTGAAACCACGGGTTAAACTATTTTGCTGTCGAGATAACCAGATCTAAGGTAGCTACTATCAGCTCTCACCAATTTAGTGCAGTTTCACTTTTTCATGAGATATGTAGTTTACTGCTTGAAGTTTACTCGAACTAAAAGTCTTGGTCTCCACATATCCTTAAAACTATTAGTTCTTTGATCGGTATCTTGAAATTTATTCAGGTCAGTAGGTTGATATCTATTATTAGTTTCATCTAAATATTTACTATCAGCCATAGAAGTCTCCAAAAGTATACGTTCAGACCGTAATTGAACTTCTTCTCTTGATTGAGTCTATGGTTGGCATCTCATGAAGTACATAATGGTGATTATCGACTAATCCTTATTGATTGACTCACGTATGTGGAGCTGCTGTAGCTAGTAGATTTGGGCAAGTCCATATTGGAGAACAAATTCCTTGGTTATGTTGTTTATGCAATTTTTCATTTGGTTCTCTGGATTGAAACTTATAAGCTATATTTGTCTTGCGATCTGTTCATTTTCGGGAGGTATGACTGGATACCAAAAGCAATAGGCAATTTTCTATCTTTTTATCTAATGAAAACATTTCATTTATTATATATTTGAACACAAATGTTGGTACAAGGGGGCACCAAGTACATATGCGCCACACAATAACAATGAGACCAGTAGCAGTTATCACTGATTTACGTGAGGGCTGTGATACCTCTTGGGTGCCCAGACCGAAGCAGGTGGCTTTCTTAGAGGGCCACACCCTGGGCCTTTGACCTAAAAGTCTAATCCACAAGGCAGTGGAGACACGTCAGGAGATGCAATCCCATGTTAGCAGTAACCAAAATTAGGTTCATACCCCATTTGTTTCCTTAGGATCCTGGAGCTCGTGTGCACCATCGGTTTGGAATCAGGGTTTTTCCAACTCCCCTAGATGGATCCTCCATATCCGCCAACCTGGCTAAAGCACCGGGCATTTTCTTTTCCTCCTCTCAGTTTCGTAAACAACACCCCTGACGCGAGAATTCGGTGAGTAGGACTTCCCTGATAGTGGCTGTATGGCCTTGTGAGAGCATTTTGAGGAGCTGACTGTCCCCACCCTCGGTCGTACCACGGTATTCGGGGGCAATGAAAACAATAATATCAGATGATTTATCGGTACAGCCATTCTGCATACTTTGATGTTCCCTCATAAAATATTCAAGCGTAACGATCACTAGTTCCTGTTAGTCGTTATTCCTTTGAATCCTACATATTCTCAGTCAGTCAGTAACAACGTAGAACTTCGTACGTACGTACATCAGTTCGAGTTGCCACACCACCTTAGCAAAGAGATGCAGTTGTCGATTCAAATCCCGTAGTGGATTCTGGACTTGATGGATGGTTTGGGATTTAGTGTATACCTACAAATGACTGCGTTTTAGTAAGTATGGTTTTCTTCGTTCATAGTGTTATCAAATTGAATATTAAGTTAAACTATTTCAGCTACAATTAAATAATTTTCAGTTTAGAATCAATGAAAACTTGATCACGTTTTCTATTTGGCCCTGGAACTCGTGACACTTTGCTGTACATTCCGTATCTCTTGTGACTGCTGAGCTATAAACCATGTACAAGGTCGTAAAACCTTTACAAGCAGCAAGATTTTACTGTCCAAGTAAATTTATTACACATTCACAGTTCTTTTAGACTTGACAACAAAGTATAGCCAGTCATCCTATTGCCTTCAAGAACTGTTTGCGAATCCTCAAATCCACAACCATTTACGTTTGGTTACTTGCATAGATTCAAACACAGTTCACCAACGACGCTATAGAAGAGCTGGGAAGGAAAGTATTAAACTTCTTAATGAAGCCGAACTAAATATAGTAATACGATTCGGATTATTTATCTAACTTTTACACAAGGTTAAAAAATATACTGCCGCTTTTACGGAACAAAAGTTGCAGATGCCACCTGTTTTAGAACCAAGAACCTCTGTAAATAGCCAAATCATTTCTCGAGATAGCGGTCTTCAAGGGATTATTCCGGGAAATATCAAACTAGTTTTTACAGATACCACACTAAAGCGTGACAGAAAGAACCGTCTCATAGTAGTTAGAGAGTCAAATGGTAACTTAAGACACGCAGACCTTTCTGAACGTGATCGTATTAACCAAGTTTACTTTCCTTTGTCTGGTCGGAAGTTGTTTATTCCCAGGATGTTTGAAGACGAGCAGTTAGATGTAAGTTATCGTTTATGTTACTTCTTAGCACTTTAAACGTCAATAATCACATAAAGTTTCGCTTCAGAAGTGATAGTGATGCGAAAATGGAAAGCACGGTTATTATCATCACAATTTTATGACCAACTACAGGTTACTTTAATCGACTTTGAGGTACACTTTATTTTGAAACGAGATACTGATAACTAAGGCGGGGTTCAGAAATTTGATATAGCCTATATCGCCTCATAGATTTTGCAAAATTTCATAGAGTATCTTGCTGGTTGTGAATTCCCCATCCTGAAACTCAAAATTTTTGCAAGGCCTTGTTTCTCACTCATCTGGCGTCACTGTTAGTCACTACATGCGATTTTCTTGAAGGAGGAGTAGAATAGAATGGAGCTCAGAGTAAACAGACCAGAGTATGGTACTCATCTGTGAATCTACTAACTACTGGTTTATTTATGGGATAAATGGATCAAACTCACCCTTGTTTACTTCATTTTGGGCAGCCAACCAGGTTATTTCACCAATTCTTCACGAAAATGGCTTGGCCTTTGTCGGCCCTTGAAAATCCGAGCAAGGCAGTATAAATTTCGTGGCAGGCCGTACCCATATCCGCAGCAGGTCTCCAAGGGGAACAACCTCTGGCAATTGAACAATGCAGGTAAGGGAAGTCGGCAAATCGGATCCGTAACTTCGGGAGAAGGATTGGCTCTGGGGGCCGAGTCAGACAGACCGAGATCAGATACGTGTCGTTCCAGTTGGGGGCTGGTTTCATTGCTGCTTTGTGTGCTTCAGTGTGCGTTATGGTGAGGTTACTGGCCGGTGACCCGGGTCGATCGTGGGCGGATTCAGCTGTTAGTGTCGTGCAGCTAGCAACGCGTGAAGACTTGTTCCACGTTGCGTCAAGCGGCTGTACTTCCATGGTCTGGCGCGCGACGGCAAACTCAGAACTAGCATGGACCAGGGGAATCCGACTGTCTAATTAAAACAAAGCATTGCGCTGTCCACTGATTGGTTGTGACGTAATGTGATTTCAGTCCAGTGCTCTGAATGACAAAGTGAAGAAATTCAACCGAGCGCGGGTAAACGGCAGGAGTAACTATGACTCTCATAAGGTAGCCTATGTTCGATTACTCCAAGGCTTTTGTTGTCTGTAGTAGCCCGACGGATGTTTTAGTCTGAGGTTATAATCTGTCTGCTCTAGGTGTGAGATTCATTTTCGTCCAACCAAACCAATTCCACAATTATTAATAAGTTAGGAAACTAGTGCTAATACAATGCAATTCGGTTACGTCAACTGTCATAGCAGTAGAGTTCAAGTCCAGGTCAGTCTATGTGTTTAGATGCAAAAAAGAGGAAAAAAGAACTACAATATGAAGTATTTAGACCACTAAGATCCTTTTTTAAAGATATCCACCAAATCCTTCACACTTTCAGGGTTGTACTGATGGAAACAGATGAGATAGTTGTACGCACAAGTTTATTTTGTAAAACTAAACATAACTTTTCTGGTTTTTCTGATTTTATCATTTTATTCTATATTTAATTTCTCCTTATCAGGCACTTTTGAACCAAGGCTCATTTTTGTATATTTTGGACAGAACATGTGTTCAATTCGAACCAGATGACCCACATTTTAGTCGAATATGCCATCGTGTTTATGAACGTGTGAACCATTTAGCTTGGACTCCATTTGAAAAAACCGCTGAATCGATAACCAACGGTCTAACCAACCCATTGCTTCTACTACGACACACACGCTATTACGGTCCCTTAGCTTTATATATGATTGCTCAATTAGGTTCTCCTGGGCCACTTGTTTATGAGACTCTTGCACATCAACATTACAATCGCTTAGGTTGGGTACTTCGTTTAGTTTGTCTTCTTAGACCCTCTAGTCCTTTTGCCGTCCATACAAAGTCAAATGTCGATTTAATACCTCCGCCGATACAGACTGTTTTAGACTACACAAAGGATTTGTCCCAACAAAATATGAGTCCATCCGAGATTAGCAAGTTGCTGGATTATGTTGAAGTAAGTACATTTTTAAAATTTTATTCAGTAATTTTTGAATCATAACTAACTTATCCGGGTATTAATGGTGGTACGAATCCACAGTATTGTGATCAAACGTTTAAGTTTTCACTGTTCGACTGAAGTTTTTTTATCTCTTACATTGTTTTCTAGTGGGAACTTGTTAGTCTGTAATCTTAATCTTAATCTGTAGAATAACCATTTTGTTCCACTTCATAAAAACATTCTATTTTCCTGATGCAGTCTATAATTCTGTTGAAATGTACTATAACTTAATTGATTAGCATATAATTAGTGGCTTTAAAAATAAATGGACATATCTGAAGTCATTCTCATATGACATCCTAGAGGACTCACAGCAACTTTACTATTTTTCAGATTGTTTTTTTATGTTCTTTTGCAGTGATTCCCGATAATGTTATTTCAAAAAATATTACAGTTGTGGGTTAGAAATAATCCTATGGCTGAAGGTAATGATTAGCCCAATCATTTAAACTTAAGGCTAATTACAATTATTAAGTATACCCCATTTGTTAATTGGGACTTCAAGAGATTTAGGCTAGAGAAATCAAGTGGTTCTGTATTTTGAACCAAGGGAACTTTCTGATCATATCAAAGATAAATACCTCATCCTATGCAATAGATGCGGAAATAAGAGGTGACCGGTAAAGGTACTAACCCAATGACTACTTCATAGTTTATATCAGAAACTGATATTAGTTAGACAACCACGAAGCACTATACAATTACTTCTTCCAAATATGGGGCTCCTCAGCAGCGAGCATCCGTTTCCCCATCAAGAAACGACACTTGTACCATCGGGTCCGTGACAACGACATTATGTTTTTTATTGCAGGCCTTATTTTAATCTGAATTAACAACTTCAAATTCAATTAACCTGTGTTTGCTAGGCATTATTATTTCACGATTGTTTTGAAATGTTTTGTCACTTTTCCGTCTTTTCTATAGCTTTTCATCAATCTGGAACCTTTAAGCAAAGACAAACAAGTCATACTCAATGATTATCTTCAACGAGCTCGAGAAGGTATCAAAATGAACATAGAAACAATGGATAGTACTTAGTTATTTTATGTACATATGATGTTAGTTTTGTTGTTAGAGAAAAGAAATTGTATGAAAATAAATAAACAATCCAACTTAAATATTCGTCATTTTTTACTTGAATGTATATTGAATGCTTGTTTAAAAACTAACCATAAGACTATTCCTTAATAATAATATAAACACAGCAACAGTAGATCCTCTTGTAATCCAGGGGTTATGGATACATACTTAACCATTATGAATGAATTATTTAAGTGTTGTCATGTTCCTAGTGAGAGCTACTCCTATCTCAGTAAGTAGATGCAATTAATATTAATACACGGAGTACAGAATCTTCCATTCGAACGTAGCTACGTATTTAGTTTGACAGATGCTTTAAGTGATTTCCAAAATGGCTAAATAACGTATATCTTTTGAATTTAGTCTTTTTAAAAGCTCAGCATTAACTGAAAATCTAAGGTACATATAAATTTCTTTCCTGAATGGTACACTAATTTATGTGGAGATAAGCGAAAATCGTTTTCATTCTCGGGAATGTCCATTAACATCAGATGAAATTTAAGGAAAAGTTTGTCCCATATCATTGCTATTATGGGTAATCGATAAAAATGCGATGCTATGCAGTTCTAGGTAAAATAAAAGACATTAGAAATTACTTAGTAAATAAGGTTCTAGCTTTCAGTACTTGACTTGGTTATTACAAGTAGATTTATCCACTGGAACTGTGACATCGGTGTTGGTCCGTACTGAAGTCAGGTTTTGATCAAAATGATAATCAAAGCAGCATCAGTCTCCTGAATCTTTATTGACAGTGCTTTTTGTTGATATTCTGAACTACAAAATTTTTAAAAAGTGTTAGTGATAATATAAGTGGTGTTTTCTATCAATCTGGAAGCGACCGAGGATAATTTGTTCATTCACTCAATCATACTTTATGTATAATCATTGTATTGCTTGGCGATTTCATTCCAAAGGTCAGGAGTACGGACAACAGAAGTGTCATTTGGTTGAGCCATAGAAATTTATTGGTTACAAGTCGAATAATAGAATAGTCTTTTGAAGCTTATAGCTTATTTTTGTCAACTTCATCTCTCAGTATAGCCGTCAATGTATCACTTGACATGCTCCGACTAGATTAGATATGGAATAAGATAGATTGCGTTGAAACCAATTAGCGATAATGATTGTGTGTACAGTAATACCACTCGTTTTACGATACCCCATTATCCACCAAACTCATTTTAAGCTTTGATACCTCAAATATTCGTCATTCAGATCGGTTGTACCTAGTACTTAAGTTTTAAGTATTATTCATACCGTAGTTTTCAGTGTCCTCAATAAACGGATACACTTTTCAGAGTAATGAACTCCATCTTGGAGACGTGCCTAATTAGAAGGTATCCGTTGGCGTTGTTGTGCTAAATATATTATTCTTATCCAGTTGAATACTTATTTTCATTCTTAATTTGCTATGGTCCTACAGCTCATGAATGAAGTTGGGTTTTATGTGAGTACTGCCTATGGGTCTGTTTTAAATTAATGCTGTGGGCGCCCATGGTACTCTCGTGTTTCTCCTAACTTGATTGTGGGTGCTTTACCACTCAAAAAGTCCTGGGATAAATGGCAGGCAGATGAAAATATCACACATATAGTGAGCATGTTGGAACCAATCGAAGTAAAATCAATTGTCATAGGAGAAAAGGATGCTGTGAATCAAGGCATTAAATATCTCTCTCTACCAGTTCGTGACTTTGTGGGAGTTCCTACATTTGAGCAGGTAAGTATTTTTTATGCAGAAGTGATTTTCATTCTTCGTAAACTCATTTATTAACAATATGTCAACCTTAATCCATGCACCTCTGTCACATACATTTTTAGCCAGTTAGTCTCAAATATGGATAATTTATTCATCGTCAAATAAAGGATACAGCTAATTACTATATTTAATTCTGTTGATTGTTTTTTTTTGTGTCGATTAAAAGATGGAGTCACATGATACAAAGTAGTTTTTATATAAGAACGTAATATTTTACTATTGAATGAAGAGTTGGTAGTCGACATCACAAAATTGTTTGCTTCTCTTATTTCATTTCTCTTATCCTTTAAGCCATAATGATGAACCTACTGTACTTGCTAAATTCACCTGTCAAGCGCCTTTAAGGTAGAAAGGTTTGATATGTTTCAGGCTATACTATTCATTTCATTATATTTTTTCATAATGATTACCTGTCACTTTGCAGGTGTAAAATGTAGCAATTTAGAATGAGACAAATTTGTACTAGGTTTCACGTTGTTTAGGTCCATCTATCTGCTTCTTTAACTAGATATTATAGCCTTTATTTTCTACTCATCCGTTTGATTTATTCACCGACTGTATTAGTCTTACAAACTTTTATGTAGTTCAAAAAAAGTACTGATAATTATGACATATTGTATTATTTTGTTATTCATTTGTTTTCTATGAATTTTTGAAAAGATTGATGCTGGAATTACATTTATCAACTCTTGTGTACAATCAAACGGATGCGTGTATATTCATTGTAAAGCCGGTCGTACACGTTCAGCATTCTTATTAACTTGTTATTTCATGTATACAGAATCTTTAAGTGTTGATGAAGCGATTGGTCGTGTCAAATCCTTTAGAAAACACATAGTTTTCAGGTCAATGCATAAAATAGGTTTAGAAAATTACTTCAAATTTTTAAATGGTAGTAAAAAAAGTGAAAATGTAACAAGTTGATAATGGCTCGTTATTCAACTGTATTAACTCATCAAACTTTAATACTTTTGGAAATCATTTCCATTGGCCTGGCATGCGTAAGTCTATATTATTTTGTGTTTACATTGTTGATCTTTAAATTATCAGAATCTCATAGTTTTGGTTACTACTATTAAGATACATGGTATATACTTTTCAGTCGACTGGAATTTTGCATTTGCTTACTAAATCCATGATGTGTTAATCCCTGAGGGGCCAATAAGCATAGCTTTTGGCGATAGATTTCATTCGTTTTATACCAGGATAACCAGTGTGGAACTGCTTTAGCACCCTTGATCTTAGGGACTCTGGTGCCACTACTCTATCTCCAAACATCAAGCACTCATTCACGACGCATAATGAGTCCCGACGGTGATAAAGCTGCTTCAAGTCACCATCGAGTCCAGTTGACGGCCAGCCATTAGTGACGTATTTCATCGCTCTCTTAATGATGCAATCGTTCCTGGAGGTAGATTGTATTTCAACTGCTGAGACTGGCAAAGCACGAACAGCAGATGTCAGGTAACATTGCGCGTGGTTCTCTGTCATTAGGAAGGCAATAACTGCATCTTCGTCGGTCGTATGGTGTTTGCTGATAAGTCGTGACAGGGTGTCTGCCTGACCAAATTGTTGGGTGCACCGGTACTGAATGTCAAAATCATAACCCAACAGTACCAAAGCCCATCGCTGGAGACGGTTTGCAAAGTGTCCTGGAAAACCAGATTTCGATCCGAAAATTGTGAGAAGAGGATTGTGATCAGTGATAAGAGTAAATCTTCGACCGTACAAGAATTTGTGGAAACGGCGTACTGCGAACACAGGGGCGAGAGCCTCTTTCTCTATTTGACTGTACTTTCGCTGGAGTTGATGTGTGAGATAACAGCATCGAGTCCAAAAGCTGAAGCATCTGCAGCCACAATGACTAGCACGGATGGGTCGTAGTGCGTCAATTATAGTTCAGAGCTAATGATGGCTTTGAGCTTTCAAAATGCAGCTTCACACTTTTGTCCAGTTCCAAATAGTAATCTTATTCAGAAGATAATTTAGTGGGGCGCGTATGTCATGCATCGACGGAACAAAAGCTGAGTAGTAGCTAATTAGTCCCAAGAATGATCGTAGCTCAGAGATATTAGTAGGAGTCGGCATCAGTTTTATGGCTCGGATGTTTCAAGGATCTGGTCTGCGACCTGCCACATCAAAGATGAATCCCAAGTATTTAACTGACTTCAAAAAAAGCTGGCATTTTTCTGAGCGTAATCGGAATCCGTTATCGCTGACGCGTTGTAGTACAGCTGTCGTGCGTTCTCGAAGATGATCTAACGATGTGGCAACAACTAAGATGTCATCGAGATAAGTTGTGACCCCCGGGCTACTCGATAGAATGGTATTCAATAGTTGCTGAAAAATAGATGGAGCTGTCTTAACACCAAATAGTAGGCGACTGTACTGAAAAAAGCCCGATGAGTATTGATGGTAGTAAGCTCTGTGGATTCCTCATCCACTTCCACTTGTAAATATGCGTCATCTAGATCCAGCTTTGCAAAGAACTTCCCGCCATTTAGCATTGTGAACAAATCTTCAGGGACTGGCAGTGGGTAATGATGCTGTTCGAGAGCTGCGTTAAGACCTGTGGAAAAATGTGCGCATATTCGGGTTGTGCCATTAGCCTTCTTAATAGGTGCTGCCCAGGCAGAATAAGAAACAGGTGTAATAACTCCCTGTAGTTGAAGGCGGTTAAGTTCTGCGTCAACTTTCGATAATGCTGCGTACGGCACTGGTCTCTTTGGACGGAAGACAGGTTTCAACCGAAGTGTTGCTTTCATAGCAGTGCACTGACCCAATACAGGCTGGAAAATGGTTGAAAACTTTGTCATTAGTTCTTTCAAATATGCTTCAGGTTCATGAGGTTGTTCCACCATATGGCATACGGTGCTTAACGGAACACCAGCTAAATGTAGCCGGTTAAACCAGGACTTCCCTGGTAGAGGCTGTATACGCGTGGCCGTGTGAGAGCATTTTGAGAGGGAGGGCGGGACCATTCCACTCTCGGCCATACCAGGGCAATTGGGGAATTGATTAATTAAGAAGTCAGCTATCATGAAGTTAGTCTTTCGATAAGTTAGTAGTATCTATGTTCGCAGTTCTTGAGACAGTTGTTTTCAAGTTCATCATGTTTGTAAATTAGTTTCTGACTTGACGGAACATCTGATTTAATTATTTTTCAAAAAAGTTTTCATCCTTATCAGAAGTATTTATACGTATTAACCATTTATTCATGTATTTATTTTATCAACTACAG